CCCTTTTTCTCGGAATGAATCTCTTGTCACGTAGTAGTTGTAGCACGATGTGGAACCCGTCGGTGGGACAACTCTCCTTTCCGTAGCCGGCCGTACCAACATGGTCTGTAACCACTTTCCGGTATTCGCTTCGAGTGCGCACTTCGATAGAGATGAAGAGAGAGAATGGCCGGTAAGAACAAAAAGCGCTTATATATATACATGTACGTGATGTCGGCAGAAGGTTTGCGTGCTCGTTTCGATTCACGCCAATATCCGATCGTTAGAAATCAAATATCCGCCGTTTCTTTGTCTAACTGGAACGTTATGAGATTTCGTCTTAACGAAGAATCTTGTTTCAATTTATTAATATATCCTCCGTTAATTAATACATCCTTTGTTAAAAATTTAGACCGTTGAGACCATTAGGTATAAGAGGAAGCGTAAAGTTTTTTAATATAAGATAAAGGAGACAATTGTATGTGGAAAATAAAATTTATTAGAAATGCTTGTAGACAAAAACTCGATGAATTTCAGAAATAAAAGAATGTTCTTAAAAGAAAAATGGTCTTAAAAAAGTATCTTAATACATTTAATTAAATAAAAATTATTTGAAAAATGTTACTTATACAAAATTATAAAACGGAAAATTATAATTATTATAATTATTAAATTATAATCATTATATTATGTAATATAAAAAATAATGTTATTTTTATTATTATTGTATTAATATCAATAAGTTTTCTCTGAGAAATCATTCTGAGAAATAATATTATAGAGAAAAGTGGTCCTGAAAAGAATTGTTTTCAAGAGTCTAACATCGATACCTTTTACCAGTCGTTCGTTGCGCTATTGGTCTCGTAGAAACCATCGGGACGAAGCAAACACGCTCTTCGAGTCATCGATTCATACATTTACTTTGGACGGCAATGCTTGCTGTCGCATTTTCCGCCTCTCCGACCGGAAGCAGAGTTCATTTTGCTCGAGGCATAAAAATACCAGAGATAAAGCATCGAAAGTCGGTTCGAGATGAAAGGAATTTCAATTATTACCCGAGGCTCGCTTTATCTCGAAAAGCGAGATAAACTTTCATATTAAAAATATCGCATCGAAATTTCGCGAGTTATAGATGCGAAAGTTAATCGAGCAAATAATGCATAAGCCAACGGTGGTGTTTCGATAACCAACGTAATTATCGAGAGAAATAATAGTGCTGGTAATATTGGAAAAGCTGTTTATTGCATTTGATTGGAAACGATTATTGAGCATAATAATTTTTTTTTAATAGTAGATTTTATTTCACTGTACCTCATCCATAATCAAGAAAACGCTCTTTAAAAATTGGAGATATATTTTATATACAATCGCTGCATGCGATTCCTGATAATTATTTCGGCGATTGTCATTGGTGTGGCTATGCTAAAATCTTATTATACATAATATTTATACATATATCAAATAACCGTCGTAACCGAAAGCATTTGCATTTCTCGTTAGTAATGAAGGATGTAAATCTCGTTATCTATGACATTCGTTATTAGACGTAACATGATTTCAGTCTGTGTTATCTTTTTCGTATTCTTCTCGCAAAGTCATTACGCTCGCAAAACTCGCTGGAAGGACAAAGCGACGCAGTTTGCTCGCTGAAACATCGATCTCGTGTCCTGCCCTCGAGGGGTGCAGTACGCTCTGGTCGCTTTACAGTTCACCGGGAATGATCGGAAGCCCTAGTAGCGCGATCCGCTCTTTGGACAATGAGGGAGCAAAAAGTGGGAAAGTGTGGATAAGGATCGAGGATAAGCGAGTCGACGGGAAAGAATTCTCGATTAAATCTGGCAACTGGCGGCCCTTCGACTAAACCGACCGTATAAAATTCAATCACGTTTTTTTTTTTTATTTTTCTCGCCTCTTCATCTCTATCCGGTCAATTTTCAATTATTTGATTCTCATAAGGATCGAGGATAAGCGAGTCGACGGGAAAGAATTCTCGATTAAATCTGGCAACTGGCGGCCCTTCGACTAAACCGACCGTATAAAATTCAATCACGTTTTTTTTTTATTTTTCTCGCCTCTTCATCTCTATCCGGTCAATTTTCAATTATTTGATTCTCACGGAAGCTCTTTTAAATCGATTCATTATTAACATTTGCGATCTTGTCTTCGATTTTTGCGAATTTGTAAAGCAATGATTTCGGGATTTATATGTAGATATAAGTAATAGAAGATAAGATAAGTTGTGCATCTCTCTATATACATCTAAATATATATCGTTTTAATCTTTATTGTTATATTTTTAACAATGAGATTATTAAATGTGGCTGAAAAAATCTATCTTTAAAATTAAAGACGGGGCTTTTTCTGCATATTCGCAACATTATACATATTTTTATTATTATACATGCCTCACATTCACATAGGAGGATATAAAAGGATCTAGAGTAACAAACTTTTTGTGCACATTTCGTTATGTACAAATGCCGCAACTGTTACATATCTACCCAGATGAATGATACGTGTGTGTTGGCATCGAATTTTTGCGACTTTGTTTACTCACGTTGGACTACGCGACCCGCGAATTTTTTTTATCAATAATATTGCTGCATTTACAACGGATGGATCGTAACTCGACGTTTATTTTATTTATTTTATTTTTTTTTTAGCAGGTCATAATACATTACAAAAAATGTTTATTGTTAGTGTCATCGACGACAGAGACATTTAGTTAAACTACGTTAAAAATGATATAATTATGGCATTGGATTCAAAAAATATAATGAAAATCTTATGATCTTTCAAAATCAAACATGATCGTGCGAATACAAGAACGGGGCTACTATTTTGTGTCTAAATATTATAAGGATTATTCCTAAGCATTAATATTGTTAGTATTCATATTTATCATAATATTATTTTACATCTTTTGTTTTTTAATACAAGCTCGCTTGAATTTTGATTTTGTGCGATTAAATCTTTTACGGATTTATATCGCCATTTATATCCCCTATAGATCGCTACATATGTTATATCTCTTTCTAGAATTCAATAAATGTGTCGTGAATCTCTTCCTGCAACAATATATTTTATAAATTTTTATTTCATGAAATAAATCTTCTTCATGTCGAGTAATATTTATGCTACACAAACTACATATGCAAATGAAAATATATTTGATTTCTCTCGCCGTATACGTCTATTTCTAGCATACAATAAATGTGTCATGTATTTGTCACTTTGCAAATTTATTTAACTGATTGTTATTTTATGAAATGTATTAATCTTTTAATACTAGGAAGCGTTTACACCAGATGGAAATGGCAATATTTGATTTATTGCTTTACGTCTGTCTCTCTATGTAAACCAATTAACTGTGTTCTGAATTTATTACCTTACAAATTTGTACTGCGAATTTTTATTTCATGAAATAAAATTTTTCCAAACGTGGAAAAATCATGTAAGTTTCGATTATGGTAATGTTTGATTAATCTCAATACACAAAATAATTCATGATAGAGAGGAGGAGCTGTGGAATAATGATGGCGTCATAATCGGAACGGCGAAATGTTGCTTCGGTAAACTGGTCCGCGAGGCCCCACGCGAATAAGCTAGCATTGTCGCCGTACAAAGGATACTATTCACCTGCTACGTTTCGTAGATTTCCCACGAGTTTCACGGAGCGTATAGAGCTTCGAAAGACCCAAAGCATTTTTCTTTTTGCGCACCATCATTACTTTCGTATTCGCGATCCTTGTTAAAGCGATGCACGGAGAATCTATCATTAAGAAAAATGCATCGCGAGATGCGAACAATTTGCGATTACAATCGGTCGATCTTGCGATCGATAGCGCACACATCCGTCAGCTTTGCATTTTTTTCGCGAATTCCATGGAAATCCCATTATTCTTCGAAAGCAACGAAGAGAAGTTTGATAGCTCCCAAAAATTAGGAAAAAGTTTGATACACAAATGTGAGACAGTTTGACTCAAATACATGGGTATTTTTTGTTGCGGATAAACTAACTTTTTCGATTTTTTAAAGTTATATGATACCTTCAAACTCATCAAAAATGTGTGCATCGGAAAAAAAATTAAATTTGTGAACAAATATTTTGTTGATGCAAAACGTTGATACCACGCAAGGATCTATCTATCTTATATAGTCTGTCTCAGGTTTCTACGTATGTAAACTCGTTTTTTTTTTTTTAATGTCGATACATAGACAAATGTAATTGTAAAGTAAATTTGTTAAAGTTAGAATTCTCATCAATTTTGGTGAAAGGGAAGAAGGTTAGACAGAGAAAATAATTTGTCACCGGAAGATGAGCCAAAAATTTTTTAAATTATATTTGTAATCTTGAACAACTCGTTAAAACTTTTTATTGATTGCGCGAATATTCTAAAAAGGCAGTGTTTTTGATGCATGTTATGTTATTTGGAGTGATCGATCCGACTTTGGCTTTCAGTTCATTCTGATAAGTCGATCGCTGTTCATCCGATACCGTTGTATGTACGCATCGAACGCGGAGGCGAAATTAACAATAAACGCGTCACGCGTGACACGTATCAAACGTGACTATTGCTGCTAAATGCCAGTTACACATGTCAACGGTATCGCAAAATTTTGCTAAAAACGATCCGAGTAAAACGTCATCAATCCAAAAAGGCGCAGTTTTTCATAGCTTTCAATGGCATAAAATCTATCTTTCTTGAACTGTAAAGGAACAACACAATATGAGTCATATGTTTTCTATTCTAACAATAAGAAATATAAGATAATATGAAAAAAATGTTTAACGTCTATCAATATAGTAATATAGTATTTAACGTCGATAAAATCTAGTTCCGTCTTGTAGTCCTTGTTGTAGTCATTTTTTTATTACTTTATAAGAGGAGAGAGGGGGAAATTAGAAATGTTTTCATTATATAAATGAATTATATAAATGAATTTTGATATATATACGAAGATACGAAAGGAAAATATTTTTAAAATAAATTTTATATATTTTTGTTGTTTGTTGACAGGATATCGCCTGAGAGTCGAACGAGACGCGAATCACATTAGAATGGTTCGAGGGTGAAATCGCTAAAAAGACGTTCGTCAGTATGTTGCGGATATTGATAGTGGTGACGTGCATCAAAATATCGACGCTCGCCAGTGCACAGTCGAAAGGGACTACTTCTTTCGACGAGGATGCGAATAGCGACGAACCTGACCATCCAAGTGAGTACATAAGTATTCTACATAATTATTGTTTAACTCATAAGCTCGTAACGAGAATAAATGTAAAATTTGCTTGGTGCATGTTAACCAAGTAATTTATTGTTTGACTTGTGTCAACGGGATCGGTATCGCGTAAATTATTTAGAATACATATATACTTAGTAGTTTAGCCGAGTTTCGAGCTACTTTATCTGGAGTGATTAATGGTCGAGTGGATATTGACAAATACAAACATCCGTGTGGTGCCAATTAGTCTAGTTACAACTCTGGCTTACCTCAATACGCACGTTAAAAAAATACAATTTAATATTCGAGCAAATATTAGAGCGGATGGATTCGTGAATTCGAGCAATTGTGGAGAAATTCAAACATTTCCGGTCTGTTGGGAAACGCGAAAGCACATTTCCGGCATCGTTCGATGTAGTAAACGAACATAATGCATTTCTCCCCACACTTACGCACAGATATATACACACATGTATAGAGCGGGTCATGGAGAATGCACTGGAGAAACAATTTGTTAAAATGGCCAGGGGAACGTACGAGAATGCTTCTTTCTTTCGCCGGTCGTGTTGTGCAAATCGGCCGTCGCGAGAAGTCGTTTGGGCGATGGCGAAATGGCGAGGGCAAACTACTCGCGCAAATTGCCGCGGGCGCGTGTGCATACAACTTTTTCCCGAATTTATTCGCGTGCTGTTTGCCGGCGGAACGGATATCAAGATTAACGTTCAAAGCCGATGAAGAAGAAGCGGGACAAAAAGGGATAAAAAGGGTCGAGAGAGAGAAAGAGCCGATTCGCGCGCTAACTTCGACAATCAAGTTCCTCGAAACATATTGAAATCGCAATTACCGGTCGATCCGCAGCGAGAGATTCGATGGCGAAAGTCGCGAAGATCGTGCAGCGAGAGACCCGGTCCCCTTTAAAATTTCTACGCTGTACTCTTGCAGAGTTTTATCGAGAAGTTTGATGATCTCGTTGACACACGAGTGACATCCTCCATGGAGTGGAGGAAGGGAGGAAGGGGGTGGGATAACTTTCCGTCTCTCGCTTTATGCTGCGTTCTCTAGAAGCAGCTATCAATTTGCTTTGAGCCCTATGAATTTTTACGGGTTTTTTTTTCTTTTGCTTTTTTATCGATATTATCAAGCGACCTTTTATATCCTGTTTCGTTATCCGCTTTGACTTGTATCTGCCGTTTTATGTCTTCGAGCGTATTTTGCCCGAAAAAAGAACACAGTCTGCTTATTATTTTGATTGTGTCCATTTAGTATTTTTGCAAATATTAAGTACTGGTTCAAGTTGTCGTTTGTTCGCGTGCAAAGTGCATGTTTAACTGAGCTCTTTCAACTCGAGAAAGCATATTTTAGAGTTCTTTACTAAAGTTCATAAAATAATTAGTCAGAATGAAAGCAACACCGACGAATTATGGGACGTCGTATGTCGACTGGTCGTTGGAAGTTTATATGAGAAAAGCTCGGCGCACTTCATAAGTTCCCTGCACGAGGCCAAACTAATTAGATATGTATGAATAACCTGAGCGTCGGCCGGGAACATATAATTAATGCAGCCCACCGGCTAAGTGAGAAATTAATTATAATATGGAAATTGGAGTTGTCCCACCTCTCCCTCTCTCTCTCTCTCTCTCTCTCCCTCTCTTTCTCATTCTCACTTTCGCTCTCACGTTCACTCTCTTCTTTTCCGTCTCTACATGCTAAAACTCTGACCATATGAGCTTTTGCGCAGTAAAAGATTTCTCGACGCAGATGCACGTGCGAAACGTGCAGATGCAACCACGCACGTGTTTCGTGTAACGACACATATGTGACACGCAATGCTTTTTGCCGAATATATCTCTTGCCGAGAAAAAAAAAAATCTTTTATGCACGATAAAATCATCAACTTTCTTTGGGATTTATCATTGCGGCTGTTCACACAAATATCAATGAAAAATTTTATATATTTCTTTTTTCAAAATTAATTTTATGCTTGACTATCGCTATTTTGATGTGATTAAAATTCACACCTACTTTTCCGAACTTTCAGAAATATTGTTCTATTGTCTATATATATATATATTCTATGTTTATTAGATCAAATTGCGTAAATATAAAAATTTAATTATTCCGTGGAGTAATATGCATAATGATATTCTAAAATGAGGTGAAAATAGAATCTAGAATCGATAATGTAAGAGTCCCACGCAATTGCATATTACTTAGATAAAACTATAAATAGATATCACAAATCTAAGATATTGTAGCACTCTATGCTCTTGTATACTTTTTCTGTTATCTCGCAGATACGAATTTTGTGTTAGTGAATTTGGCGAATTTCGTACATTCTTAGGGAAGTGTTTGCTCTGCTACTGGCATTACGTACTTTCTGTTTGTACAACGTCGCGTTGTGTAGGTCAGTAACGGCGAGCGGGTCGATTCACATTCCAGTCCCATGTCTGCACGTACGCTTTACACGATGCCTTTTCTCTCGAGTATGCTACTGAACGGAAAATTCGCGCAATATGCAGGAGAGTTATTCTTGCAAAGTGTATTTATAACATAATAAATTTTTGTTGTATCTTAATTATTACAATAAATATCTCGCACACATTTGTACTTGAGATAAAAGGTGTGAGTCTAAAAATCCGACATCATGTGTACGGATTTTCAAGATAAAATATATAAGAAAAATGACAAATTCTGTGTAATCTTTTTATATAGCTTTTCTGTTGATTACGACAATGTAACTATTATAAACTTAATGAACTTATTACCTTTTTTTCTCAGACAGTAAAGTACATGCTTACATGTTGCGAACGACAGATTGCAATGCATAGCTACTAGAGAAAAAGCATAGAATAATAATGATATCGAGAATGAATAGAATCTGATATCGATACTGTATTAAACTCGCGACGAAAGAAAAGAAGATTTCGACCACAATCGGTTTAGCTCGTCGGTTAACTACTAGGGTTAACGGTAAACCTTGTTGCGGGATCGAGCCCACAGGAGTTACCCTCAACGAGAAGCGAGTTTCGGGCGAAACAACTCGAGACTACCTCGTCGAAGTTACGGTTTAACGGTAATCTCGTTGACGAGAGTCCGGCACACACTCGGGGCCTTATAGCGACGATTTTTGAGGTCAAAACCACAACGCGCAAGAGTGCGAAACCCTGAGCTCGTTAAAAAGTTTCCAGGTGATAGCTTATCGCGATTCGCGAACTTCGTTGTCCTCTTCAGGATACTTTACGATGATTTTTGAACCGTTGGTCTTTCAGTGTTTTGGGGAGAAAGAGAAAGAATGATAATTAGATTTTTGATGTATTAAACATTAAACTCTCGCGGCGATGTACATTTGTGAAACTCCATGATTGCATCATGATTAAAAAAAGCATTGTTTAAAATGAGCATTAATAATTTATAATTTGACAAAATAATAGATGAACAACGCAATTTTTAATTTTAAAGTTAAAATTATTAAGCAAAGTCTCTCTCTCTCTCTTTCGAATGAAATAACGAATAAGGCTTTCTCTTTATTTTGCTTTTAGGCGAAAGAACATTTGCGCCTCGCAACTTGAACTTTTTTTTTCTTTTAAACAGGAGGAGAGGATAGTTTTGTTCTAGAAGCTAGTGAATTTTATAACAGCGATACGAGATCTCATTTTCATAGTTTGACTCTCGGGTGGGGAACTTACTCGATTAAGAGCTCGGCGTTCAGAGTTGCAAAAATGCGTCGCGCTGTTCGGTTCGCAAATCGAGGTCGCCGCGGTCAACGGGGCGTCTCTTGCTCGTTAACGAGTTCGCGAGTTTGCCAAAGTCCCGTTTTGGGGTACCCCTGACAACGAGTTGAGGATTCCACTTAACTCGTTGCTTTGGTAAACTCAAGGACACTTTGTTAAGCTTAATCTCCTTTCACGGTTATTGGGTTCTGCTCTTTACAAACAAAGAGATGCGAGTCTCTGGTGAAGGGGGACTTAAGTCCTCCGGGACTGGATATACCGATGGCGATATTGCACAGGACCTCGCGAAAAACTCGTTGTGGTTTTCATCAATTTTGCATATTTTGCGCGAAATAATCTTTATTGTAATATTTTCTTTACACGAGAACGGGGAGATCAATAGAGTGAGAGAGAAAGATGGCGTTTTTGCAGGAAACTAAGAGATGCATTCGCGCTTATTACTGGGTAGGTGAGTTTTCATGCAGACTCGTTTGAATAGACCTGCCAGAGGTATAAAAGCAGATATAGCGATGCTTTGTTTTCTTATACAATTAATTGTTGATATTCTATTCGAAACAAGACTTAATGTACTGAATAAATCTTGAGGAAATACGCGGTTAAGAAAACGGATTTTTAAATATTCTTTTCAACGAGAAACGTTTTTTTGAAAAAAGATTTTAATACTTTTTGCATCATTGTTAAGGCGCATCCTGGAAACGCGACATGCATAGCCATTTTGTTACGGATGGTCTGACAACCGGTAGCACGGTCTTAACGATTATCATCGTTTTAATGAAATTTTGCTTCATCAGCATTTCATAAAAAGCGGTTAAGAAAAAAGTTTCTGTCATGGCGGTGACACAAAAGAGCTAACTTGATAAAAAGCGCCTTTGTGAAACCCAGCAGAGATGATGCCAGTGGTTAACATAGTACTTTACCTAGGATCTAAAATTCTCGTTTGCCTGCGGTTGAAATAATATCATTGAAATTACAATTTTTTTCGACGTTACATTAACGAAAAGAATATGGAAAAAAATTTGAATTTAATAATTTTTCCTATTCGAGAATTAACCATCATTTGTTTTTTCGGCATTAATTATTATTTTGAATTTGCTTTTTATTGGGTGTGTTCGGGGAGCACGCTTTTAGCGCTATGAGCGTGCTCTATCCTTGTTCAACTTTCAGTAAATAACAAAGATAGAACGAGAGACGCTTTTAGCGCGTAAGCGTGCTTCCCGAACGCAGCCATTGCATTGAGCGACGATTAACCATGCTTCTTTTTGT